CGAGTTGAACGGTGGGAATATATCTCAAATAAAATAACACACAATGGTTTATTAAAAAGGTCATTAAAATAAGGCTTAAAGTCACAAAATTCCTATATTGTATCCTGTGTCTCCACACTGAACACCACCTGGCGGGAGCCGGCGGTACTGCAGTCTAGCAGACTAGCCTACTGCTGAAAACCACAGGTCTGTCGTCACTCTCCTAGTAACAGATGTTACTGCAGTTTTAGGGCTTTTTCCTATTGGTTAGTCCTTGCATTTGATTAAATTCCACATCATGCCAGATTTTGCAGGGGGTATTCTTGCACACACATTCTCTTATGTAGGCCAGAATTGGCCTAAGATGCATGATTACAGATGAACAAACTCCCTTTTCCTTAAATAACATGGAAAGGTTCACAAATGACAGTTTCATTCTCTTTCCTTCCAGGAGAATGGCCACGCCAAGACCAATGGGGATACCTCTCCAGCTACAGAGGAGGCCAACAAAGCTGATGTTCAGGCCAACGGCAGCACTCCCACTGAGGAGGCGCCAAAAGAAGAGAATGGCGAGAAAGTAGAAGTTGCAGAGGCCAACGGCGAGAAGGAGCCTGCCGCCACAAACGGAGAGGCTTCTGCCAAGCCGGAGGAAGGCACTCCGTCCAGCGAGGATGGCAAGCAGAAGAAAAAGCGTTTCTCCTTCAAGAAACCCTCCTTCAAGCTCAGCGGCTTCTCATTCAAGAAGACCAAGAAAGAGTCTGAGGAGGCAACAGAGGAAGAAGCCGCAGCAGCCGAACCAGCCGAAGGAGAGAAGGCGGCATCTGAGGAGGCAGCCGCTGAGGAGGCCAAACCAGCCGAGGCTGCAGCTGAGGAGGGAGCCAAGGAGGCTGCAGCTGAGGAGCCGAAAGCTGAGGAGGTGAAGGCAGAAGAACCTGCAGCAGAGGAGAAACCGGCGGAGGCTTCACCCGCTGAGCCAGAGACGGCAGCCAGTCCAGAGGCCGCTGCTGAGTAATCCTACTGAGCCAGACACCGGAATGAAGGAGCCCGTCTGAAGGAATGCGAGGACTTGTCTAAAACCAGGGATTTTTTTGTTCATTTTTTTTGGTGTTTGTTTACTATTCTGCAACCATCTCATCCATAATGACTGCAAGGTCCTTGGCAGTGATGAACAGGAGGTGTACTGGAGTGTGCTGCTTCCTCACTGCTCATTGGTGCTTGCATGTGTGATGTTGGCCGTGTGTGAAAGTGCGAATGTGGGTGTGAATGTTTTTTTCTCTACATGAAACCATGACTTTGTTGACACGTTGCTGAATTTGACATATTTTATCAAAGTATTTGGTGCTGGGCAATTGGATGTAGCAGCTAAAGCTGTGTCTGCAAGATTTGACACATTGTGATATTTAAAGGGAAAGTCCTAAACCAAGTCTTAAATGTTGTCTTTGCAGTGCACAGTTGTTTACAACTCTTAGAAATGCGACGCTCCTGTGGACACAACCATTCCTGAATTAAGTAGATATAGTTAACTGTCAAAACAATAGATGCTCATCACTTTCCATTAGATACCACCATTTCAGAACTCTGTAGTAATGCACGTTGTATAGACTTTGATATTACTGGTTTTATGACTGAGATGTACCTAAATGACTGAAGTTTTTAACAGATTACCCATTGTAAATGAAGTTTTTCTTGTTTTTCACCATTTGTAAGATTGAATAAAATTGGGAGATGTTTTAAGCAAAATTTGCGTCAAGCTGTAATGACTTCAACACCACTTAATTTCTACACTACAAAGCACACTCATAGGGGTTTGGGTGCAATTTTTATATGGCATAATTTATTTTGTATATAATGAGGCATCACCATATTCAATATGGAATGCAACATTGCCTAAACTGATTATAGTTGTCAGCACTAATGAAGAATAAAGACATTTAGCTCCACTAAGCTAATTTATTTATCAGGGTTATAATCCGTTTATTGATTTTGTAACCGAGTAGGTTTCATATTTCAGTTTTGTGTTGTGTGACTTACTGAGCACACTCCAATTATTTGCGTTACAGCACCCTCGTGTGGAGCCTTATAGGAATTTCAGGTGTTTCAATCATTGTATGGAGAATAGAGTGCCTCAAAATACTTGGCATAAAATGTCAAATTGTCAGAACATTTAAATTCTTCAGCAGGCTGTATTACATTAATGACATTGACAATACTGCAGTCTCTTGTAAGGATAACAGGCCTTCAAATTATTCTATATTATACAATTTAACAAGATGAAATTGACTTCAGAAGAATTCCAGAGATTTAATCGAGCAATAAGAATGACAAAATAGCACATGATTTATAACTTTAGAAATCCAAGAATGTGAGCATCGCAAAATAAACATGCTTTCTCTAAACTAATTTGCGAGGAGACAAATTAAGATGTTTTGCTGCCCTCCAGTATTTTTAGGAAATGACTGGCTTTCTTGGGAACAGCCACTGCATAATTATGTGATAAGACTTGAGGTAAGTTATGTAAACTGCTGGCTTTGCAATGTAAATGATAGTGTTGGAAACAAACATTTTTTATGGTGTCTACAATTGTTTGTATCTACAACTTTAGCACATACCTAAGTGATGCATGCGCCTTTCATTGACATGTTGAAATTGCCTCAAGCAAACACCATAAAAGATCAGAATCTTTTCAAGAGTAGAAACGGCAAACCCCAGGGTGTTTTTAGACACCCACATCTGTGCCACACTCATTTTCAAACCATCTATTTCCTTTGCACCCAGTATAACCCAGTGTACTGCAACTTTGGCTGCCACAAGAAGGGTGTGTTTTACACATAATATTTCTATTTCTGCATCCTGGTCTGTGTGTATATTTTGGTCAGGTTGTTGAGGGATTTGCTACCCATTTTGGGCCTCCCTGTGCCTCACAGTATCCCATCATGCCACACAACTCTGTCCTCAGGTTCTCCCTTCTTTTCTTAGATATTTCAAGAAAATGGGAAAACAAGAGTTTACATATGTACAAGTTAATACAGCAGGTGAGCATGTTACAAAATATATCAAAGTGAAATTATTCATTTGAGTGCAACAGATATATTTGGAGTGTGGTTTGTGGAGTGGAGCAGACGCAGTGCTCCGTCTGTGCTCCTGTCGGTCCCACCTCAGTAACCGCAGACCATCTCTGAATGGCAGTCCCCTCAGATGGCACTCCCAAGTGGTTTCCTTCAACCAGCTTCCTCTCTTTTCTGTGCCTCGGGCCCCTCACCTAACCACCGCCTCGCTCTCTCTATAGGGAAGATCAAACACCCGCTGCCCTGCCAGAGGACCATCCCTGTCCCTCATCCCACATGCAAAATATTTTCAGCACACCCATATTCAGACTTGCACGGTAGAGTAGATTTTGTAAACCTTGGCTGGCAAGAAGGCAACCAGTAGCCATTGTTAGGGAGAAATTGATACTTTATGATACTCATCCTTCTAGCTTCAGGACCAGACCAGTGGTGGGACGTTCTCGTTTAAATGCATTTTAGAGATTTCTTTATTATATGTTTCGTACTTCTACTCCATTACATTTCAAATGGAAAACATTTGAATCTGCATTTATTTTACAGATTAAATAACTGGTTACTTCGCAGTTTCCACATACAAAACATAGGTCTTGCTACAGTTTAAACTGTTGTCTTGAGTCGTGGATGTGCCTGCTGCTGTGGTCCTGGATCATAAGTCCTGGATGGATATCCTCGTGGATTCATCTTCTTATTATAGACACATGCATTTCCAAACATTTGGACTACCTATGTTGCAAATGTATTATCTTTTCAATTTACACACGGCATCTATTGCACATCTGTCCGTCCTGGGAGAGGGATCCCTCCTCTGTTGCTCTCCCTGAGGTTTCTCCCATTTTCCCCCTTTAAACTGTGGATTTTCTCCGGAAGTTTTTCCTTGTACGATGTAAGGGTCTAAGGACAGAGGGTGTCGTATTGTCATACTGATATTCTGTACAAACTGTGAAGTCCACTGAGACAAATGTAACATTTGTGATATTGGGCTATATAAATAAACATTGATTGATTGATTGATTGATTGTCTAAGCTATGATAAGACCTTTGACCTCGGCTACATGCACCTGCAATTAAGCTATTTCCTTTTCTGGAATCAAAAGTGCAACATGAAAGCATATAACATTATAAGTGCTAACATCAGTAATGAAAATAATAAGAGTGTATTCTGCATTTCTATTGATGATACTTGCAGATTATAATACATTTACTGAAACATTGGATAAAGTTGGTATGTTTGTATTTGTACTTACTTATAAAGGATCTAGATGCTACATCTGAGAGAGTTTAACAGTTCAGTATATCTTATACATTGCTGTGCTGAGTGTGTGTGGATATGTACAGTAGCTAATCTGCTAGCATCCATTATAAGTTTATTTTGACTGTTTTGTTTTCCTTTTATATCTTGGCAGTAATTATTTTATGCAGAACTTGGAACAATTGAATTTGGAAACCAGATAATTTGTATTCCTATAATTATAATATAATATGAACCCTAACCCAATCCAGGGCTGTACATGAAGGCTAATAGGCTCGATTTAATCTTAGTTTGCACTTTAGTGCTAACATAAGCGATAGCCAGATGGAAAATTAAGCACACAAGCCATTGTGCCTTAAATTGGACACATTTTCTCCAGAGTAGAAAACATCCATCCCTGCTAAAGTGTTCTTGATCGAGACACTGAACCCCTACTGTACCAGCCTAAAGGGCAATTACTTTTTGGTGACCTTTGACCCCAATGCATTAGGCAGAAGGTGAACTTTTCTTTGCAGATGAATGACCTGGTTCCCTTGAGCCTGGATCTACTTGGAATTATTTTTCCGACAGAATATTCAGTTTATAATGTATGAGATCCATTCAGGATATTTGGTATTATCTAATATGTAGCCCACTTCCAAATATGTTGTTTATAGAATGTTCTGAAAATAAACCAGTATTTGAAAAAGTGCTCCTGAGACAAAACATTGGTTTAGACAACTTTTATTTAGGTCATTATGCTTTACACGACATAATGCATGTTCAGGGATATAACGATGTTGCTGGTAGTTGTGTTTGTCTGACAGTATTCTGGTGACATATTTCCTTATAACGGTCAATTTGACCATTACCATTTCACAATATTCAAGTCACATACAAGGATAAGAGTTACATGTCAACATGTTACACAGAAAGTATTTGTTTACTTAAGATTTTTGGTCACACAAACAAAACTAGGAGGTACAAAAAAGGAAAAAACAGACAAACAGTAAATTAGGTATCACCAGTATTAAAGGAAAAGAGTGGAAAAATAAAAGTCAGGACACAACACATTTATAACACCTCCATTTCACATGCTGTCTCCATTACAGAAGCTCACTGGTAACTTTGTGGATTACTTCCCCCCCATCCCTGATCACCTGTTTTCATAAATTAGTTTTCCTTCTTCTAAGCACCTATTTTTTTTGTAGTTTTCAAGTTGAAATGCAACTATTCCTCAAAGAAGGGTGAACTACCTGTCTGTTTGGTTGAGAAACATTTTAACAGGGAGTTTACTTTAGTTTGAGAAATAGATCACAAATTAAGTTGGTTGGATTTTGGCAACTACTAAATCAACGTATCACGTTGAGGCAATGAGGAACCCAGAGAAAGAGCAGTGCACATTGTCGGCGGCAAACACACCATTGGCCTCCTCATCGGGGATCTGGAGGAAGACTGTGTCTTGCTGATCGAGCAGGAGGACAGCACTACCGGACATCTGGTCCAGGAAGCCCTTGTTGTACTCATCATAAGAGAACATAACAGGCTGGCCGTTCTTGTACAGACCCACCAGAGCATGAGCTCCATTAACATGGATGTTGTAGGAGAAATAGTAAACTCCAGGAACTGTGCAAGTGAAAATGCCAGACTCAGGGTCATAGTGGTTCTCAGCATTGTACACAATCTGGTCAAACTTGATAGGGCTGCCAGAAGGAGGGTAGGGGGTGATCAGAGATGCAGTGAAAGCAGACATAGGGGACTTGACCATAATCTCACCCATTCCCATGCCTTTCTCAAACATAATCTCACCAGGAGCACCAGGAGCACCAGCGGGACCAGCAGGGCCAGCCTCTCCATCAACACCATTATCACCGGGCATACCAGGGGGACCCTGGGGTCCAGGGACACCCTTGGCAGACAAACCTGCAGGGCCAGAAGGACCAGGCAGACCTGGGTGTCCCTTAAGGCCAGAAGCACCAGAAGGACCCTGAGGACCAGAAGGTCCTCTGACACCTGAAGCACCATCAGAACCAGAGGCACCCGACTCACCAGCACGACCGGGATGACCTTTGGGTCCAGCAGGGCCTGGAATACCAGGAGAACCTGGGGTACCTGGGCCACCTGTATGACCTTTGTCACCTGTGAGTCCAGAGGCTCCTCTGGGTCCAGGAGGACCAGCTGCGCCTGGATAACCCTGCTTGCCTGCAAAGCCCTGTGCTCCCTGATCTCCCTTGTTTCCCTTAATTCCCTGAGCTCCAGTCACACCTGTGTCACCTTTGGAGCCAACAGCGCCATGCTCACCTGTGAAACCAGTTGCACCCTGAGGTCCAACGGAACCAATTGGTCCAGTGGCACCAGTAGCACCAGTATATCCTGATGGACCTTTCTCACCCTTGGCACCTGTGGACCCGCTGGCACCTGTAAATCCCCTCTCTCCCTTCTCTCCATTAGATCCTGGCTTTCCATATCCGGGGACTCCAGGGGCACCAGTTGCTCCAGCAGGTCCCTGGTGGCCTTTAGGGCCACCTGCACCAGGCATACCTGGGGCACCGTTATCACCTGATTTACCTGGCATACCTACACCTGTGGCACCAGTGTGTCCCTTGGGTCCCTGTGCTCCCATGGGACCTGCGGCACCATCCCTACCTGAGCTACCTGACTTTCCTGGCTCACCTGCCATACCATTTCTTCCTGGCTTTCCAACACCGGCCTCACCTGGTTGTCCAGGTGCGCCCACAGCTCCTTCGAGCCCTGTCTCACCCTGAGCTCCTTGAACTCCCACCCCTCTATCACCCTTAGAACCTGGCAGGCCAGGTACACCTGGATGTCCTTTCAGACCAGACGCTCCTCTGGGTCCCATTTGTCCAGGAAGACCTGAAGGTCCAGGCTTGCCAGTAGCAGAGAGGCCAGCAGGTCCAGGGCTTCCGGAGGATCCAGCGCCTCCCCTTGGTCCTTGAGCGCCAGCGGCTCCGGTGTCTCCCTTGTCACCAGGAAGTCCGTTGCTGCCAGGTTTTCCAGATCCACCTGGGGAACCAGGTTTGCCAGCAATGGAGCGACCAGGAGCTCCAGGGGCTCCACCAGGTCCTTCGGCTCCAGGCAGACCGACAGCACTCTCACCTGGGGGGCCAGCAGGTCCCTCAGGTCCCTCAGGGCCGGGCTCACCTGGGGCTCCAGGCTCACCTGCCACTGACACCACTGTGAATAATGAAACAGTCCATAATCAGTACCAACAGAAAGAAGAACAGTAAAAAAAATGACTTACAGGTACAACTCTAAACAATACTTTAAGAGTACATTTCAAAATCTCTTATTTTAATGACTTTGTTCTGGAAATATATGCCTATAGTGTGTGCATCATTTGAACAATAATATCTTAGAAAACTGGGGGAAATGACAAAAAGTACAGAAACATGGATGTAGTGGCCAGCTCTCAGGTCTGAGTGTGTGTGAGTATGAAGTATAAGTAGTATCTTGTTCCATATTCAGTAGTATTATATTTAAAGAGGCTTTTTTTTCTTCCTAGAAAACCTTTAGGTTGTTGTTTTAGTTCATCTTGTAGTTTAGAGGTTTGACTGCATGTCTCTGATATGCTGGTGCCGTTTTATACGGTTTATTATATAAATTATAAACTTGCAAATCCTTCATAGTAAATGTAGATATCTGCCTCTGCTTTCTTCGCAACATTTTATAATTTGTTTTAAATTATGTGTTAATTGGTTATTTAACTATTAGCTTTAAGGGACAGATTGGGACTTGTTTGTCAAACAGTGAGGTTTAAATGAGAGGGAACCTTTTTTATGTGCTGCCTTAATGTGGTAACATGTGTTTGAGTATCAAAGGCTCTCTCCCCGGCTAACTGTAGCTCAGTTTGGCAAAACCAAACAGATGTTTCTACTTCTGTGTGAGGAAGGCACACCCAAACAAACCACACTGCTGGGTGACTGAACTGTAATTGCTAGTATCAAACTAAAAATAATTCACTAACAGCTACTTTGTCAAATAAAAATAGTATATTGATTCACGCAAAAGTAACATTTCATATTTTATAGCCAGCATTCAAGGCCACACCATAATTAAGATTTGTAATGTGCAGTAAATCTCTAAATATACTTGAAATGTAAATCATCTTTAGAAAAGCAAAATAAGGTTTTGGTTGAAATGAGCTGAAGTGTGCATTGACTAGCATGAGTGTCTCAAAGCATATGAACATTCAACATCAACAGCTAAAATGACTAAAATGAGAAACATTGTTTTATCTCACAGGCTTAAAGTATTGAACAGTAGTATCATGGATATATGCTCTGGAAGTAATTCATATATATTGCTGATCAATGAACATGTTGTACCTGAGTTAACTAAGGCAGTCTCCAAAAAATAAGAAATTCTGTAATTTCACTCAAAAATGGTGATAGTGTAACTGCATTAAAACTATAGAAATCCTCAAAACACACACAGTTAGATGCATGCATCTAATCCTATGACTTCTTATAGCAGAAAACCCCAAAGGTCTGCACTGAGTAAATAAGCCTTGTTATTCAAATCTTAGATCTGAATGTGCGCTGTGATTGGAGAGGCATGAGCACTGCTGCATCCAATCAGAGCACAGAGCAGTTTCAGAGCAAGGTGGAGTTTACTTTTCAAAGCAAAGTGCAGCCGGCTGTGGCCAGCATCTGTTTGGCTGTTTGTGCTGCTCCTATTTTCTACAACTAAGATGCACATTTACAAGCTGAAGATTACAGGTAAGTCTTGAAATGTTGCTTGAGTACATTTTGACTTTAGAGAAGAACATCACACTTTAGAAGCAACTTTTGGAGGGACAAACTATACTACATCAGGAGAAATGCTAGCATTGTGTATTGTCAAACACATATGCTATAGAAAGCAGCAGACTGTGTTTTTCTTACCTTGGCTCTTCACAGAGTAGGGCTGGTACTGAGGGGCGGCCTTCACCAATTTCTTCACCACATAGCGTTCTCCATGGGCAGCTGCAAAAGCCACCATGAGCAGGAAGATGCTTGCTACTCTTATGTCCATCTTGCAAAGTATGATCTGCATGGGGGGGAAAAGGAAACATTTAGCACAAAACTCTCAAGGTACAAAGTGTTAGCAAACTTTCTATCTAGTTTTGAGTTATTTTACAGATCTTTACAACTTTCTTAGCTAGGTACACAGACTAAACATCTTTACAGAAACACTATGGACACCAGTAAGATAAGATAACTAAGAGTAACATGGTGCAAATGAGTTTGTGTTCTGAGCAGAGCATCCTTAAGGGCTCTTTAAAAAACCCAGATGATGCTCAAAGCCAGCCAGAACCTGCTTCCATGCCATAGAGACATACTCAAGGCCTAGTCAAAACCTAAAAGATGACAACACTTCTCCAGATACAGAGCAGTTTAGAGAAGAAGGGAAAACACACTTACCAGCATCCAATGGGGGTAAAATCAATGTATTCAGCACCAGAAGAACTGCTGGTACTGCTGTATATCCTTAGAGTAGGAGCACAACTGAGGATATGCTGCTCTCTAGTACAATGATGTCAGTATTTATACTATATCTACTCCTCGCATCATTACAAAAAAAAGGCCCCCACTGTGCAAGCACCTCCCTCCTCAGAGCTAGGCTGTAATTAGAAGACAGATCTGCCCAAAGCCGGCATGTCACATCAGGGTGCCTCCATGTCTTGAATATCCAGACACATGATTATCACTTATTTCAGTCTTCCTCTGAACTAGAAAGTAATCAAAGCACAAGAATCACATAAATAAAGAACACATAAAACAACAAAGCACACATTTTGAAGGTAGAATACACAAATCATCTTTAAATCTTTATATACTTATTTACTGTTTCTACACATTTCATTTTGTATTCAGGATTTATTTATATTTCTGAGGGCTTATAGGACGTCCTGTTTAAATATGACAACCTCTTAAAATAGTCAAAATGCAAAAACAGCACCAGATTAGAGTGGCACCTGTGTGGCTTCACAAAGCTTGCATTGAGAATATACCCTAGCAGACTCATCTGCAAATATACATCTTGTCCAGCCGGCTGCCACAAACGAGCCTTTACCTTTCCTGACTGTCTGGGCACCTCCAAGTCTGCCATGATAAGGTAAACAAGGGAAATGGTGCGGAAAGGTTGTCCATGAAAGATACTAAAGATTTAAGTCATCATAGGTTGAAGAAAAAATTATTATGTTTACTCCTGAAGTATCATTTGGGGCATTTACATATATCGTTTTTCCACTTCACCCCCCCCACACACAGATACAACAAATCCAGCACCAGTCACTTTTACGCTGCATGGACATTTTTGCACTCTCATTTGCACTATGTAGGCTACATCATCTTTTTTTATATATATATATCCTGCTTACTTGAAGTAAACGGATATTTTGTGTTTTTTTTGCAATTATTGAGTGTTCTCGTATTTTAATGTGTGTTTGTTATACCTTGGGACTGTGGGAAACGGTTAGGGTTAGGGTTTCGATCTTTCTGTGTGTACAAACATATTTTGAGATTGACAATAAAGTTGACTTTGACTTTGACTGATATATCTATTTATGTACATATGCTGGGTATTATTTGGTCCGCTTGTCATTGTGGCGAATGGACAGAGTGGCCTTGATTTCAGTCTCTATTTCAGGATGAACACTTTTCTTAAGTTGTGTATTTTTGTAAGTGTTTCACCCTCAAAACAGCTAATAAAACTATATAAGGAGCAAATGGAAAAGACATTTGGTCTTGTTTCTGAGCAGTCTTGTGAATGCAGCCCAGTGTGCAACAGCCCTCATATGCAGTGTGGGTGTTTGGACACCAGAGGGCAGGTTTTACTGTAGTACGGCACCTCTCTATGGAGTGATACTGCAGCAGGGAAGGGGGCCATGGCCCTGTGGTCAATTGTTATTTTTGGACTTCTCATTTCGTATACATCATCAGAGGTTTCAGGACTATTCCTACAATTACAGCTAGTTTCTGTCATGATGTTGTATTTCCTCAATCAGCGCTTCATCCCCCAGTATTATCCTCCCCCTCACCCTCCACCTTGCCTTGCTTACTTGAGATCCTCCAACTGTAATTTCTCAATTTCAGCCTGGCCACATAGGAAATGTATACACCCAAATAATCACATGTTCTCAAACACACAAGTAGCCATAAATGATGTGAAGGGGGGCCGACTCTGTGTCCCATCCCAGAATCTTCCTGAACACAAGACTATTTATGGAACCTTCCTGTGTTCTTATAGTGTATATACAGTGAGTATATATTGCTGACACCGTGTGTGTATTTGCAAAAATGGTGATAGCATGTTGCCTGATTGAGGCCTTCACAAAGTTTCTATTTGAGGCATTTGTACAACACGCGACTGACAGGCGTCTTTCACCAGGACTATAATTAAATATTGTAGCACATGGAACTTGTTTGAACCCCCTTTTTTTCTGTCAATTAGACCAAATTATCTGCAATTTTACAAAGTGCTACCTTCATAGGTTTATGGCACTTAATCATTTTTGGCAAGCATTGTTTAAGTTTGCTTTTCCTGTCAAATAAAACACAACATAATTTGTGATGTTCATTTCCAAATGTTTGAAATTCTGCAAAAAACCGAGACAGGAGCCAAAGCTCAAAGCAAAGGTGCAGACTGACTACCTGAGGCTCTGGGATGTTAAAGAAAATTCACTTTTAATGTTCTTCACATGCAATTCAAGCACAAAGAGCATGACTTTTGTTTTCAATATCATAAATGAAAGCCATAATCTTTTTTTATTGCACATGGTTTTTCCTTTTTTGTAATTTTCTAAAGCTGAGGTTTCCTCCTAGCTAGTTACTGCCACAAAATGCTTTCTCTGTGCCACTAGTTTTGACATCTTTTAGCAAACTAAATTATTAAAAAAATCTCTGGATGCTTATTCTTCAAGAGGAACCTCAGCTATGCCAGTTGTAGTCAAATGTAGATGAAATGACAGAGCAAGAGAGGGTGGAGTTAGGATTTTATACGGTTTTAATTTAAGTTAATTTCAGTTTATTCAAACACTTAACCACTGCAGAAGAGCTTTTAAGTTTTCATTCCAGTGTTCTGAGGACAATCATCCATCAGCAATCTGCATGTGCGCCTGAGAAGAGGCAGAAACATTTGCTGAGCTTTGGAACCAGTATACTTTGGCGTGAGGAAGACTTTAATTAACATTGTAATTTGGATGTTGTTTATCACCTTTTCAACATTCTTTTATTTGGTAAACACGCCACTGCACACATTTGCAAAAGACTCTGTGTCCTTGTTCTTATAGTGGCAAAATTGAAGGCTGTGTGCATGCAGAGCTCTCTCTCTCTCTGCGTAAGTCATTACCGCACCCCAGCGGCTTGATGTGGTCGGCAGGCTTTATTGTAATAACCATTAGGAATTAGGTTAACAGCCTTCGAGCTTAAGGCGGTGACGTCGCTGTGCTCTTATATTGTGGACAGACGCTCACTGTAAAACACGCTTACAGTTTCATGTCACTTCATATACTTGATCTGACATAAAACCCTTTTACAGCATTTGGAAAAATAAGAAAATGGCTTATCATGAACATGACACACCCAAAGTCACTGAAAGAACTCAACACTGCACAGTTGTTGTTTCAGGATCACAGATTTCAAATGTAGTTTTATGTGATTTCTTTGTTAAAGTGGAAAGTAACTAAGTACATTTACTTAAGTACTATATTTCAGTTCAACTTTGAGGAGTCTTTACATTTTATGTTACTTTATACATACCAATAAATTAAGAGGCAAATATTGTACTTTTTAATAAATGTATCAAACCTCAAGTCATTTCCAACCCTAACCCTGAGACAATACAGCTGTTAGATGCCATAGATGTTAGAAAACTTGAGATATAGTCAAACACATTATTTTCTCAAAATGACTAGTAAATTTGACTTTTGGACTACACATATGCTACAAATATCCATTTTATAGTATCAATTAGAAAAATATTTCCAACTAAAGTTTTCTAGAACTGTATGATGTTCCCATAGAGAAAACAATTAATATATATATATATATACATTTTATACAGCAAAAACTGTTGATACAGAATACTTAAAAATTGCAATCGATATCATATCGGCTCCCAAGTGTTGTAATAGTATAATATTGAGAGATAAGCAGATCATCATAGCCCTGCCAACAGTACATAAAGTAAGTACAACTTGCACCACCTTCACCTGTTCCAATTAGGATGCATCATAACTGCAATCATGTAATGTTTTATTCTGAAATGGGTATTTGGCATAATGCATACTTGGTACTTTTAGTATATTTCCATGCTAATACATGTACTTTTGATTAGGAAACTGTGGTATTGCTTGTAAAATAGAAACCACTGGTGCCTGTTTAGAAGGATAACAACAGGTTTTGTTTTATCATCCTCTACAGAAATAGATTGAATCTTAAAAATAAGCTTCACAAGTTCTGATAGGGCAGATTTTCTTTGACCTCTGCAGAGGACAGGATCTGGCATTGTGAGGTCCTGCTTGTTGTAAAGGCCTCGTCCGCAGCTAATAAAAGTCAGTGCATTTAACTAAATTCATCAGGGAAGACTGCTGGGCGCTCTTACTGGCAATGTTTGTGATGTTTGTGCTTGTACTTTGCAATGATAATAGTGTTTAAAAGGAACATTCTCGTATTTTGTCTGTTTTTGTTCGCTCCACTGCCTAGGAATTGCTGTTTCTGGTTTCTTCGCCATGCCGACCGAGGCTCAACCCACACCCAAGAGGAGAACATAATTGGCGGTTGATGTAAGGGAACCCGGCCGAGCACGTGAGTCAAGCAACGGCTAAAGATACCCCATCACGACTGGGATACAAATGTAATGTTTCAATAAACTCCACGGACCACTAAGAGCTACTTTAAACTTTATGAATGGCAGACTTGACGGGGGCCCTTGTGAGTGATTGGTGGGGAAATTACAGGGTCCTGAAAACAAACATGCACCCAAAAAGAGCCGGAAGTGTAAAAGTAACTGAGAAATGGCAGTGGTGGTTACCTTAGGGATGAGGGATGATCTCTCGGAGGTCACGTTTGAAACCCCAGAGATGTAGGAAAGTATGGGGGATGGATGAGAGAGCGACGGTTGTATGTAGGTGTAAATATGAAGCACAATTACCATGCATGTATTCATAAGGTTTAACAAACAACTACTTAAATGTTGACAAATCTTACTTTTTTATTGTGTTAACTCATAAAATTGTGGAGTTGGATATCTTGGTCCCACTCACTTCTGACAGCAGGAACTTGTTTCAACACTTACGTACGTGTGGATTTATTTTCGACTGTGAGAAAGGTCTGACTCAGCTGCTGGTTTGAAGCAACATTTTTTGTCTTTCTTTAGCTGAGAAAATCTGAGTTTCTGAGTTGCAGCATCCAAAAAGTAATTTGGCTAGACTTACTCAGCCAGACAGATTATGAGGTCACAGTGCTGCAAAACAGCACTTGTGGACACAATGTACTACAGAGGTAAAAAG